AGAAATTTTGAGCGGTGCTAACGTTTGAAGAATTACATTTGGTGTAAAACTTTTGTTGTAACGACTCATGAGCAGTTCACTCCAAGAAACTCGACTCTTAAGCTTTTCGTACGAATTTATTAGGGTGCTATTTTCTTGCCAATATTTTGAACCAATCGTGGGTGTGTGTCATGAGTTCTTGCGAGATCGCCCGCAAGATTTCTTTTTCGTAAAATTTTTGTAACTTTCGTGTTCGTCTAGTTAAAAGTCATTTGATGATTGTTTATACAGATTTGTAATACACCTGGCCTCATTATTGCATGGGTCAGCCCGCCACGTCATCCCTTTATTTCATGTCGTCCATGGTGTCACAAAATGATTATTTTAACGCTGTTGGCTTAGTTGTTGTTGTTTTTTCTTTACTTTCCTTCTAAATTCAAAATATTTCAGACGTTCGCATAGAGTCACACGTTGCGGGCCACGTTCTGACCGGTTTTGCTAAGTTCGAAGGTATTCAGCTGCTGTTGTATGCGTGAATGGGCTGGTTATCCTTTTACATCTATCCCCTATCGCATGATATTTCCTTTTCATCTTGTCCGTGTCGGTGTCTTCATTTTAATATGATATTGCCTTTCCTACATGCATCTAACCATCCGCATCAAGCGTGTATTAGTTCGATAGTGCTTCAGCAGATTGCAGAGTATTGAATATGATTGTTCGAGTGATTTTTTCTAAGTAGTGTAATATCAGATTTCTTGACGACTTTCGCTTCTGGGGGCTCACACGAACCCTATCTCTACACTTCCCTTTTCTCCTACCATAACGTTCTAAGGAGTCTGGTACAGAGCAGGGTGAAGTCGGGCAAGAAAATTATAAGGCTGAAGACATGGGTTGTTATTTTCCAGAGAATGGTCCCAATTTTGTGCAATCTGTGCCTCTTGCCAGCATTGGAAATCCAGGCCTACATCATGAAAGGGGCTCCTTCATGGTGTTCCTCGAGGGCAACTCTGACTATGGGTCACTTTGGAACCGTTTATTATTTGGAAGTGTCCAGTTGGTAATTGCTATTGTCCCGCAGACATCACAAGTGATGTGACTTGTCTGATTAAGCGATCTTCGATTCTTTGCAAATATGGCTGCATCCATAAGTTCCACTCGCTGATGGTGGTTGGTGTTCAAGTAGTGCAAGTTTGGAAGTTAGGATTCGGGAACTTCGTAAACCGGAACATGCAATATGTGCGTCATAACGGCAAACCATTTGCTATTTTTTCAACGCCAAGTGAAGAAATGGTTGTTGGCATTCTGAAAAGAAGGAAAGTGCGACCGAAAGAAGTTCAGTGGCACATTCCCACGCTAGACAAAGCTTGAGATTGTGGACGTGACAGCACCAAGTCCAATGAAAAGCCAATCAAGAAGCGGATTTATCTCAGAAACTTGATTTCAAACATCATTTCAGTAGTTTGGGGCTAGGTCTCCATCTTTTTGCCATTTTCTTGTGAAAACTTTTTAGAATGAGATTTTCTGGTCTTCTGTTTGAGCTTGTTTTCTATTTATTATTTGCGATATTTTTAGAAGCAATTTTGAAGCATTCTATGAAAATTTTTCACAAAATATGGCAAAGCCGTAGTGACACGTTCCAGCTAGGGGAAATCTCAGGAAGAGGCGGAGGCCAAGATGTTTCTCAGCCTTGACGCTTTCATCTTCGTGCATTTTATCGCTTGAGATTGATAATATCCCCCAACGCATGCTAAAACTATCGTCCACCGCCTATGTACCGATTGCACCTACTTCCGTTCCAACAAATTTCTATTCATACGGCTTTGTACGGCTACGGCTGCTTCTCATTCTCACCACTGCAAACCTTCAGTATATTTGTCGTTCGTTTTTGTGTTCCGTTTATTCGATTCATTTCCGAATAGTGTACATGTGAATTGAATACTATTCCTTTCGTATAACGCTAACCGCGCACCGTTGCTTGTCTTCTAGGACGAGATGTTACGGTAGAGAAAGAATCAGAGAAGCACGCAGACACTCACGCACACATTCAGCGATAGCAATGTTGCTTCTTCGTATGGAAAAACGCGATAGTACGCGTGACTCGTCCGATCGCGATAGGTACACTGAACGAAATTGGTTGCGGCGTTTTTGGGAACTTTTCACGTTGGCATTACGTATTCGTAGGCTTGAATTGCATGAATTTGTAGTAGCAGCAGCAGCACCAGCCGCCACCAGCACTAGCAGTGCCCAGAAGTGATTGTGTGGATCGATACAGTTGTAGTAGGGTGTGGTTTTAACAGCATGTGCTCTGTGGCTTCTTGCTTTTGTCAGGTGATAACTAGGAAAAGTGCTAAGGCTCAAGATATGTGAAGAATTCCGTCTGCTGTCCGTCAGAAAGCAGAGGATGACAAGATTGAAAAAGCGACTGAGATTGGCTTTCATCGCTATTGATTTAGTTTATTGAAAAGTTGAATCCATTAGTCATTCGTTTTTAATGGTTCTATGAATTTGTCGGCATGTATTATTTCGTACCAAATTGGTTTCATTTTCAACAGTGTCTTAATTTGAGATGTATTGACAGGCTTAGGCTTCAGGAAGCGTAGGCGCGGTAGTTTTCCATGATTTTTATTTTCCTTTACACTTTGTCAACGCGTCTCTCTCTCTCTTTCTCTCTTGTTCTTATTCGCCTGCGATGAATGCGCATGTTCAGCAAAGTTTCATATTTTCTATGACTTATCGAAGAAGCTCTTTTAAATTTGTAAGGCACCCAGTTTAATAGATACGATACATATAAGTTGCAGTTCTTGTTCAAAGGTAATCGATCAGATTATTTTTTTGAATTCAGAAACAAGCCACGCGGATAACGAATAGCTTTAACTGGATACAGTCCCTTTTCTTCTCTTTTCTCGCCTATCTGCGCTTGTTTTTTTTTTTGTTTTCCATGTGAATTTATAAGTTCAGAATAATTAGTAATATTGTATCAATGATATGTTGTCCAAATCTCGGTTATTAGCCACTTGTGCCCATACTTGCGACTTTTCAATCTATGCAGCATTTCAGAATGGGGGTGTTTTGGAAATGAGGTCGGATGAGAAGCGATTATGTCGAAAAGGCGGAGCTATTGGAGCGCTGGGATAAGCTTTTCCCACCCACCCTCACCTCCCTCGAAATCCTCACAACAGTTTGAGACATTTTTTGGTTCTTAATCGCGCAGGGACGGGGGTGTGGAAAGCCATTATTGAAACCCAAGCAGGATCCCTTCATGCCTATTAAATCTTCTCTGACTGGAGCGACTTTGTTTGAAGAAGTGCAGGATTTTCCTGAGCCTATGCAAAGTGACTTCAAAGAAAGAGGTCGCTGAGCTCAAATGGGCCAAAATTATGGAGAAATGAGCAGTCAGCAAGGAAAGTGTGAGCTGGAATATCGATCGTAAGGCATGCGCGCATTCTTATAGAGAAACTGAGAAAAACATACGAAAGCTGTACCCGGGACCTTGAGGAGGCAGAAATCGAGGAATTGATAATATATTCTTGAAAAGGTGCAGTATCATATTCGTTGAGAGGCTAATCGTGGCAACAATATCAATCAAAAGTCAGAACTTTGTTGCGTGGAGCGCGTTTTATCCGCTCGTCATCACACATACACACAGCAGGGGTACGTGATGCGGTGTTTAGCGGTTTCTGTCTCGTCATCGCCATCCATAATCGCATCAGTCATCTGCGACGTTTTCCGCAATGTGGAGGTATACACATACTGAGCCCATATAATATCACGAAGTGATAACGAAGGGTTTCTGAACGCGATAACACGCAACTAGGCGTTCTTTTCGTTTTAATTCAAAGAATTCCGTCTTGAACATATTTCGATTTTTCTCTCAGCTTATCTGTAGACATTGATTTGATAGACATAGAAAGAGCTTCGCTAAAGCATGGTTGCCTACGCATTGATACTCGTCATTACAACTTTCAGCTCCCATGTCCTTGTTCTTTTCTATGCTTATTTGCATGCACGTACAACATCGCCTATGTCTGGCTGTATTTGTTTCTGTCGCTTTGTAGCTTTTATTGTTGTGTTGATTCTGGTATTAGCCATGGATTCGCCGTGAAATGAGTTCGATTTTAACGGGCAAGTTGATCAAAGTTGCGTATGTATGTTCGGTTTTGTACGATACATTGATTATTCCATTTTTGAAAGTACTTTTTTGTTGCCAACTTATTTACTTAGTAGTACTGGGAATACCAGTTTACCAGCACAACTGTGGTGAAATGGTTTTTACTGTCAAGCTACTCTCATTAGCAATGCTACTCCCTGTTCAAGTTGAGATGATTAATTTGGGACCGTTCATCTAGGTGAGGTTCCATATTACCGGAGTATGGATTTATTTTCGGGGATGTGATTGTTTTTCTAACTCGAGAATGAGCCCTGAGTATCTAGCATGTAGAAAATGTTGCAGATTGAAAAAATACTGTATTAGAGAGTGGCGGCGACTAATTGCTTTTTTGCAACATTGATACCGTCTCGAAATGGTAGTTGATGTGGAAAACCCTTTGTACGTGAGTGCTACACAGTGGTAGCCATCCAGTCATTAGTTTTACGTTCGAATTGTGACTGATATTTTCTTATGGTTATTGATTATCTTATCTATGGAAAATCAAAACGCTGTGATCACTCACAACGCAGGCTTAGCACTTTGTCCGTGGGAACAGAAGCCTTGTTTATCCTCCTGTATAGGTTAGCTTCCAAACAGTAACGAGAGAGTATTATCAAAGTGGGCTGCTGGTCAATCAGTATAAAACTAAAAGTCAAAATATCCATATGACCGAACAAACATACCAACGATTGAGCACATTTGATCATCTGTGAGCTTGAAAAATCGTTTTCATGAAGTTGTACGCAGCTCATTTACGCAGTCTACAGTTACTTATTGTGATCTAACTGTTAACGACTTTAGACGAGCGACAAGCAGTGGAGTTCGGCCACGCCAGGCACTGCTTTCTGGCCTCTCACACTGGGCTCCCGCCGCGATGACAAATCGGGCTCCTGGATCGGCCTCCGCTTCGGCGAGTACGACCAACTCGCAAGGTGTTCTCATGGTTGGACCCAACTTTAAGGTAAATCGTTGTCTTCGATTTTTTCCGGAGATTCAACTTGTTAGTGTATTTTCTGTTCGTTCTTCTGTTGCTTTCATAATTCATTATATTGAGGTTTTTTAGGTCGGCAAGAAGATCGGCTGTGGAAATTTCGGAGAGCTGCGCCTTGGGAAGAATTTATATAATAATGAACATGTAGCGATCAAATTGGAACCGATGAAGAGTAAAGCTCCCCAACTCCATTTGGAGTACAGATTCTATAAGCTTCTCGGGCAGTCAGGTACGGATTGTTTTCCATTTTCGTTCGACTACAGAGTTGCTCTGTGGATTTGAATTGGTTCTGATTATTGATGTTTTAAGAAGGCTTACCACAAGTGCATTATTTTGGACCTTGTGGTAAGTACAACGCACTGGTCATGGAGTTACTTGGCCATTCGCTGGAAGATCTGTTTGATCTTTGTGACAGGCATTTCTCATTGAAAACGGTCGCAATGGTCGCCATGCAGCTGGTGAGGTTTAAATTATTCAGTTATGAACGTTCTACTTTTCGCTGTTCACATAGAAACATCTTTTTTATTGAAAGAGTATGGTGAGGTCTGTTGATTAGTCGAAGCAACGTTAATTGACAGTTCACCGCATTAGAAAGCTATGAGTTGTTCCGATTCCTTTAACGGTAACCTTATTATCCGATTTTGTGAACGTACGATAAGAGAATTGCCTTCAATCTGCTCTTATCGCCTGAAAATGGCAGATTATTTCTTGAAAGAAATGATCCGCGGGTTGATCTTTCACGTTTAACCTTAGCTGGTTCCATCCTCTTTTTAGGGTTTGCGACTATTTTCAATTCTTTTTTTGAACCAGCTGAACATGAAAATTAGTTTTTTTTTCTTTGACCAAAGTTTTGACTTTGAAACGAATTACGTTCCAGGCCTCACTGATTGCTGAATCTTGTTTTCTATAAAGTCTGTGGCAGTTTGTATGCGTTTAATTATATGATAATTTCTCACTATACTTGAAAGACAAAGTTTGTAAATTTCTATTCTCCAAAATTTCTTTTTGCTGCGGGGGTTTCCTTTTAGTTTAGCGAAATTTGTTCAATGGATTCTCGCCGAATTGATGACGAAATTTTTTTTCACTGGTCGCCGAGCAAAGGCTAGCGTGCTGCCACAGTATCGATTTCTAACGTTATGTCCCTCTGGTGGTTTCTGAGCGCATAGTAGGAGGGATTTCAAAGCGGAATGAACAGAGAAATCGTCATTTTGGAAATGTGATCCATTAGCATATTAGTGCACGAAAAACAGGTATTTGGGAATTCATGAAACCTTTTTCATGCATTTCAAAATTGAATTTCGTGTCTTTCAGATTTCATCCATCTTTCTCACAGGTACATTCCCATTTCTGAAATAATTACATTATTCTCTTCCCTCTCATCAAAAGGAGGCTAGTTAGTAGTAAGGGGCGGGAACGTGTTTCATTTTCTACTTTGAAGAGTTGTTGGGAAGATGGGATCAATTAATTAGGCGAAACTTGACTCTTCAATTCAAACATTCCCATTGAAATGTGCTTTGGGACAAAGTGAAAGTACGGTCATTCATCACAAGAAGGTAAAGTCGAGGACGTTCTCATCAACTCTTGAGAGGCTTTCTCAAGATTTTTACAATTATTTGTTGTGCCATAACGGCTTTTTCAAATTTTAATATTAAAATGTACTTTTTTCAACGTTAACAAGTGCTTAATATGACCACAGAGATATTCAAGGTAGCTACTGATACAATATTGTAATCCAGTCTATGGAAGCGATTCATATAGTTTTTTTTGCTGTTTTTTTTT